AGGTGCGGGTGCAACACCGAGGGTTGCGATCCCGTTGCCGGTCCTGGTCCGGTACGGGCGCGACACTGAGGGTTGCGATCCGTTGCCAGTCACGAAAAAAGACAAAAAGGAAAAAAAAAAGGGAAATAATACCTTCCTCTAAAGGCCACATACAAAATGCTTAAACTCATAATACCAGATCAGTAACTAAATTTCTTAACTATTTAATAAATTTCTGTAAATTACATAGATGTTACTTACCGACAAGATAATTCTCCATCCATAGCATCATGTTCATCTGTACTGGTATATGTTAATCTTCCTCCTACAACTGTCCCAACTAAGTACACCAGCCATGCAAGACGTCCTAATGTATAATAAGAAAAAAAAAAGGTTAGGAAGCAAAGCTTATTTTTCAGAAAATTCCAAAATTAGAAAAATGGTCTATTCTTCCAAACAAGTGATAAACTATTGTGAATTCAATTATTGACAGAAAGTGGAGACTTGGGTTTTACGTTTATCAAGACAGTAAAATAGTGAAAATGCACAGATTTTAGAGCCAGAAAAACTACCTTTGAACCCAGCTCTACCAGTTTGCTATGTGATCTGTTTTGTTTTTTTTCCACTGGGTGAAATTGATTTTTTTTTTTTAGTGAAGCATAATTGATTATACGTACTTTGGGGGTACAATGTTGACTTTCATTATTTGTGTAAAATAAGCTATAATCAAATCAATATTATGAGCATATTCATCATCACAAATTATAATTATTCTTTGTGCTCCTTACCCAATTTATCCATAACCTGCAATCTCCCTCCCCTTTTCCCACTTCTAGTAACCATGGATTTGTTCTCTCTTTCTGAAAGTTCAATGTATTATTGTGGTCTTTCTTTCTTAGCACCTACTTATGAGTAAGGACATGTGATATTTCTCTTTTTCTGTCTGGCTTATTTCACTTAACATAATTTTCTCCAAGCTCATCCATGCTACTGCAAATGGCAGAATTTCACTCATTTTTATGGCTGAGTAGTATTCCATCATGTATATATACCACATTTTCCTTATCCAGTCATCCATCGATGGACATTTAGGTTGATTCTATACCTTGGCTATTGTAAATGGAGCTGTGATAAACATAGGAGTGTAGGTATCCCTCTGACATGATGATTTCCATTCCTTTGGGTATATACCCATTAGTGGGATTGCTGGATCGTATGATAGTTCTATCTGTAATTGTCTAAGAAACCTCAATATTGTTTTCCATAATGGCTGTACTATTTTATAGACCCACCAACAGTACGGAAGAGTTCCCCTTTCTCCACATCCTTGACAGCATTTATTATTCTCAGACTTTTTAATAATGGCAGTGAGATAATATCTCAATATGGTTTTGATTTGCATTTCCCTGATGATTAGTGACATTGAGCATTTTTCTTATGTACCTGTTGGCCATGTGTATGTCTTCGTTTGAAAAATGTCTATTCAATTCCTTTACCCATTTTTTTACTTGAATTACTTGGTTTTTTTACTGTAAAGTTCTTTGAGTTCCTTGTATATTCTGGATATTAATCCCTGGTCAGATGTATAGCTTAGAAGTATTTTCTCCCATCCTGTAGGTTGTCTCTCCACTCTGTTGACTATTTCCTTTGCTGTGAAGAAGCTTTTAGTTTGATATAATCCAACTTATTTATTTTTTCTTTTGCTGCCTTATTTATAAACTCTTTGCCCAGACATTCTTACTAGCGTGTCTCCCCTATGTTTTAGTTTGGTAGTTTTATGTTTTCAGGTCTTATGTCATTAATCCATTGTGAGTTGGTTATTGTGCATGGCAAGAAGTACATGTCTAGTTTCATTCGTCTGCATATGATGTCCAATTTTCCCAGCACCATTAACTGAAGAGGCAATCTTCTCCCCAATGTATGTTCTTGTTGCATTTGTCAAAGATCAGTTGGCTGTTTAAGTGTGTGGGTTGATTTCCAGGATCTTTATTCTGTTCCATAGGTCTGAGAGTCTGATTTTATGCCACTACCATGCTGTTTCAGTTAATATAGCTTTGCAGTATAATTTGAAGTCAGGTAGTGAGGTAGTGTTATGACCCTGGCTTTATTTTTCTTGCTCAAAATTGCCTTGGCTATTTGGGTTCTTCTGCTGTTCCATATGAATGTTTGGATAATTTTTTCTATTTCTGTCAAGAATGTCATTGGTATTGTGATGGGCATTAAATCTGTAGATTGTTTTGGGTAGTATGGACATTTTCACAATGTTAAATCTTCCAATCCAAGACCATGGGATGTCTTTCCACCTTTTCGTGTACTCTTAATTTCTTTCAGTAGTGTTTTGCATTCTCGTTGTAGAAATCTTTCACCTTCTTGGTTAAATTGATTCCTAGGTTTCTGTTTTGTTTTTGGTGACTATTGTAAAGGGGCTTGCTTTGTTGATTTCTTTTTCTGCTTGTAAGTTTGTTGATTTCTTTTTCTGCTTGTAAGTTATCAGAATATAAAAATGCTACTGATTTTTGTGCATTGATTTTGTATCTTGCAACATTATTGAAATTATCAGCTCTAACGATTTTCTGGTAGAGTCTTTAGGTTTTTCTACACATAGGATCATGTTATCTGCAAACGGGGACAGTTTGACTTTGTCCTTTTAACTCTGGATGCCCTTCATTTCTTTCTCTTGCCTCACTGCTCTGGCTAGTACTTCCATCATTGTTAAAGAGGAGTGGTGAGAATGGACATCCTTGTCTTCTTTCTGTTCTTAAGGGAAAAGGGAATGATATTGGCGATTGGTTTGTCGTATACGCTTTTTATCATGTTGAGATACTTTCTTTCTACACCTAATTTGCTGAGAGCCTTTGTTGTGAAGGGGTGTTGAATTTTGTCAAATGTTTTTTCTGTTTCTATTGAGATGATCATATGGCTTTTGTCTATGGTTTTGTTGATGTGGTGTATCACATTTAATGACTTCAGTATGTTGAATCATCTTTGCATCCCTGGAATGCATCCCACTTGATCATGGTATATACTTTTTTTGCTGTGTTGCTGTATTCTGATTTCTAAAATTTTGTTGAGGATTTTTGTGCCTATGTTCATCAGAGATTTTGGCCTGTAGCTTTTTTTGTTGTATCTTTGTCTGGCTTTGGTATCAGGGCAATGCTGGCCTCATAGAATGAGTTTGGGAGAATGGCCTCTGTTTCACTTTTTTTGCAACAGTTTGAAGAGAATTGGCATTAATTTCTTTAAAGGTTTGACAGAATTCAGCAGTAAAGCCATCTGGTCCTGGGCTTTTCTTTGTTGGGAGACTGCTGATTATGGATTCAATCTCATTGCTTGTTACTGGTCTGTTTGGGTTTTCTGTTTCCTCTTAGTTCAGTCTTGGTAGTTTGTATGTATCCAGAAATTTATCCATTTCCTCCAGGTTTTCATATTTGTTGGCATATAGTTATTCATATTACTGATGATTCTTTGTATTTCTGGTATTGGCTGTAATATCTCCTTTTTCATCTCTGATTTTTGTTGTTTGGGTTCTCTTTTTTGGTAACCTAGCTAATGGTTGTCTATTTTATCTTCTCAAAAAACCAACTTTTTGTTTCATTGATCTTATATATTGTTTTTCAGGTCTCTATTTCATGTAGTTCTGCTCTGATCTTAATTCTTTCTTTCTGTCTACTACTTACAGGATTAGATTGTTCTTTCTATAGTTCTTTAAGGTATAGCATTAGGTCATTTATTTGAAGTCTTTCTATTCTTTTGATGTAAGCATATATTGCAATAAACTTCCCTCTGAGTACTGCTTTTGCAGTATCCTATAGGATTTGGTATGATGTGTCTCTATTTTCGTTGGCCTCAAGAAATTTTTTGATTTCCTTTTTAATTTCTTCTTGGACCTATAGGTCAATTCAGGAGCCTGTTGTTAAATTTCCATGTATTTGTATAGTTTCCAGAGTTTCACTTGTTACTGATTTCCAGTTTTAATCCATTGTGGTCTGAAAAGATACTTGAAATGATTTCGATTTTTAAAATTTGCTGAGATGGGCCGGCCCGGTGGCGCACTGGATAGTGCGCCGCTTGGGAAGCGCGGCGGCACTCCCGCCCGGGGGGTCGGCGCCCACCCACACAC